TACCAAGAAGGAATGACAAATCAGCAGAGTATATCTGAGGGCACTGAAAACCCCCAGACTCCACAGGAGTGGTCATAAAACGTATTGGGCATTCGAGTCAGACAACCTAGATCTGAATCTCCACTCTACAGATTAGCTGTGCCAACGTTAACAAGTTACTTAACCTTTTAATGCTTCAGCTTCTTACATGCAAGATAGAAATAATTATACTACCTTTTTCATGGGGTGGTTGTGGGAATTAAAAATTAAAGTGAGTGCTTAGCTCTCACCCACAGCTGTAAAGTCGATTCTACCTCAAAGTGACAGGATCGTATAGCACAAAGTAGAATGGATCCATAAGGTTTCAGAGGCTATAAACCCTTATGGAAGCAGACTTCCTCCTCTTTTTACCATGGTGAATTTGAACAGCTGAACTTGTGTGTTAGTAGCCCAGCATTTAATCCACTGCACTGCCAGAGCTCCTATATGCTTAGCACCTAAAAGCCAAATAAATCCACCTCTGCTGAGTTTGTTATGATGAATGTTATTGTTGTTAAGTGCCATCAAATCAGTTCCCACTCATAAGGACCCTGTATAGTGTTTCCAAGGAGCAGCTGGTAGGTTTGAACTGCTCACCTAGTAGTTCAGAGTCCAGTGATGATCCTACAGCACCACACCATAGTGACCCACATATAGAGGGTTTCCAAGTCTGTAAGTATTTATAAGCACAGATAGCCTCGTCTTTCTCCTGAGGAGTGACCGGTGGGCTTGAACAACTGAACTTGCAGTTAATATACCAACACCTAACCCACAGCACCACCAGGCCTCCTATGAACTTAAGAAACTGTTCCTAGAAAATAACAAAGACTCAATACGTTTTAGCTATTATTATTATTATATCACAAAGATCATTATCATCATCACCATTATTAGAACATAATGCAAAGGGAAGGAGGGAGGTGAAGGATGAGACTGGAGAGGTCAGCAGAGGTCAGAAGTCAAGGAATGACAATGCAACACTAAAGAACTTGGACATGGCTCTGCAGGAAAAGTCGAGTCAGAAAGGGATTCTAAGCAGAGAAGAGATGCAGTCATATCTGCTTCTCTGCAGAGCCTTCTAACAGCATTCAAGGTTCATTAGGAGTCTTTGGTGGTGTGGTTCTGACTCTATACAGCCCAAGAGTGTGGGCTGTGGACTGAAGTAGACAGGACAAAGAAATGATGGTTGGAGGATGAGTAAGGGATGGTGTGTCCACCAGGGTTCTCCACAGAAACAGAACCAGAAGGAGATGTGGATATTATGTTGTAGTTGTAGTTGTTAGTTGCTGCCAAGTCAGATCCAACTCATGGTGACTCCATATGTTACAGAGTAGAACTGATCCATAGGATTTTCTTGGCTCTAATTTTAGCAGAAGCAGATCACCAAGTCTTTTCTTCTATAGAGTTTCAGGGTGGTTTTGAACAACTAACCTTTAAGTTAACAGTAAAGCACAAGCCTTTTACATAACCCAGGGGCACATATATATAGTTGTTGTTAAGTACCATCAAATCAATCTGACTCATAGCTACCCTGTATAGGGTTTCCAAGGAATGTCTGGTGGGTTTGAACCACTGACCTTGTGGTTAGCAGTTCAGTGCTTGTCCTACAGCACCACACCAGAACTATATATGTGTGTGTGTGTGTGTGTGTGTGTGTGTGTATTTTATTGTGGTGGTGGTTGTGTACCGTGGAGTCAGTTCTGACTCATAGTGACCCTGCATAGAGTTTCCTAGGCTGTATTTCTTTATGGGAACAGAAAGCACCATCATTCGCTTGTGGAATGGCTGGTAGTTTCACTGCTGACCTTGAAGTTAGCAGCCCAACTCAAAACCACTACACTACCAGGAGTCCTGGTGTGGCACTGTGGGTTAAGGCACTTGACTGCAAAGTCAGTTTGATCTGCAAGGTCAGTGGTTCAAGTTCACCAGCCACTCCTCAGATACCCTGTACAGGTTCGCTGTGAGTTGCAACTGACTCAATGGCACTTAACAACAACATATATATAGATATAGATATAGATATAGATATAGATATAGATATAGATTAGATAGATAGATAGATAGATAGATAGATAGATAGATAGATAGATAGACAGATAGATAGATAGACAGATCGATCAATGTAAGTTCATGGAAAATTCCATTGTCTTGTCATTCCATTTCTCCACATACTTTGTGAAACCCCCACATACAGGTAGCCCCCAATTTACAATACGGTTTCATTCTGACAACTCCTTGGTAAGTCCGTTCTGGCATAAATCAATTACCTCATTTTTTTTTTTCGTTTTCATCATTATTGCCCTTTACTATTAGCATTTTTATTTGTCTTTGGGAAGTGGCATGAGAATGATAACCCAACAAAATAGGTGCTACAACATTGTATGTAACACATATTACTAACAATAAGATAGACAGAAAACAATAAGATGTATGACTTACAGTTGTAAGTATGTTTGTCATAGTCAAATATGTTGTAAATCAGGAACTAAATATATGTATATTGAGAGAGAGAGAAAGATATCATTTAATGAATTAGCTTATGTGACTGTGGAAGCTAGCATGTCTGAACTTTGTAGGGCAGCCTGGCAGGCTGGCAACTCAAGCAGGATTTGATGCTGTTATCTAGAGGCAAAATTGATCCATTTGAGTTATGGTGTTTGAGGAGAACATTAAAAGTACCACAAACAGCCAAAAAACAACAACAAAAACAACTCTGTGTTGGAAGAAGTAAAGCCAGAATGCTGCTTAGAATCTAGCCAGGATGGCAAGTTCGTCTCTCATATTTTGGACATATTATCAAGGGACCAGTCCCTTGTTAAGGACATCATGCTTGGTACAGTCGAAGATCAGCAAAAAAGAGGAAGACTCCCACAAAATTGACTGCCATGGTGGCAGCAGCAATGGGCTCAAACCTAGCAATGATTTTGAGGTTGGCACAGGAATGGGCTATGAATCAGTACTAACTCAACAGCACCTAACAACATCTAAAGGCAAAAGTGTTTCTTTCCTACAAAATTTGTTTTTGCACTTAAGGCCGTCAAATGATTGGATGGGACCCACCCATGTTTTTCAGGGTAATCTCTGCTTAAAGTAAAAATGATTGCAGTCACTAACCAATCTACCAAATACATTCACAGCAACATCCCATAACCGTCAAGTCAATTCCAGTTCAAAACAACCCTGTATAGGGTTTCCAAGACTGTAATATTTATAGGTGCAGAAATCTTCATCTTTCTCCTATGGATCAGCCGGTGGGTTTGAACTTCTAACCTGGCAGGTAGCAGTCCAGCGTTTATCCACCAGAGCTCTTTGGTAATTTAGACTAATGTTCATTAAAGCACTAGGAATTAGAGGAGTCCTGTAAGTCAGTTTTCAGGTGGGCCATTGTGATGCAGTGGCTCATGTGATTGATTGACCTGATTGTCAGCAGTTTGAACCTAACAGACACTCCTCAAGAGAAAAATGTGGCAGTCTGCTTCCATAAAGATTTACAGTATTAGAAATCCTTTGGGGTTGTTCTACTCTATCCTATTGGGTTGTCCTGAGTCAAAATTGACTTCATCACAATGAATTTTTTTATTTATATTTTATGAGAATTGACACATAGACTAACCATGACATGTGGGACCAAGAGAATGGCATCTAGCCCACCAATCTTCGTCACCAAGAGAAATTTGGGGCCAGACAGAGCATCTTTATGAGAAAAGGGCATATAAGGTTGTAAACATCTGTTTCAGCCGAAGGTGCCGCTAGCAGTGACCTTATTCAAACAGCAGGGGGAACTCTTCACTTAACTTTCAACTATTCCACCCATTCACTCCTAGCACCCTCCACCCCACCCCCACTCGCACACCTACCCAGAGCTGGGGAAAGGTGTGAAGAAAGGCCTGAACAAAGAGGACAATGGGGAAGGTTCTGAGTCCAGCCGTATTACTCAGTTCCAGTGAGCAAATGCATCAGGTGGGGCTGCTTCTATTGAATGGTGGTCTGGGCTCTGATGGATGAGATAAATGGTCATCCGTGGTGACAACCTTGAGAAGATGTCAGTCCTAGGTCATAATGTTCCAGTTTTATAGACAGAGGAGGAGAGGATTGCCCAGAATCAGTTAAATTCCTGAGTCGTTTCAGGAAATGCACAACTTGGTCTTTTGCATACAAAACAGTTACTATAACAATATAAAACTGAGCCATGATCACCCACAAATATATTGAAAGTAATTTCATTTCTTAAATGGATTAAACATTTTCTTTTCCTCTACCCAGGATGCTTCAGATAGCAGGCCTCCTGCTAAGATCTCTGTAATTCCATTTCCTCCCTAAATTGAACACAAGGACAAGTTCATCTCCTCTAAGAAAATAGCTTACTAAAGGAAATCTGGCCCCAAGAATCCGATAGATGTGGGGAGATAATCCTAGAATTTCCCCAACTAGCTTTTTTGCTTTAAGGTATCTAATTTGTCTAGGCATCAGAAATGGCAACCACTCTCTTGCAGTGTTATTCTGAGCATTCAATTGCTGGTCATTGTAAAAGCACTCAGACTAGTATCTCATGGACACTAAGTTCTCAAGGACGGGCAATAATAATTACTATCAACATCATCATTCTGGCTACTATTGCCTGATTGAGTGGCATGGAACAATTTGCTTACCATCTCCGGTGCTCTGGTTCTCTCCAACTGTAAAATGGGCTTAATGATGCTTCTCTCAGAGGGATGCTGTGAGGTCTAAATTAGGTGAAGTATACAAAGTGACAAAAATGAGACCTAGTACATTTTAATAACTCAAGTCATTCTCATTTCTTTGCCTGACTTCCAACATCGTCTCTAAAAGCCCAAGTATAACCAAAAGAATGTCTGAAGGTAGTCAATGGCAAAATAAGAAATAATGTGGTTTTCCCTTTGCCCCTCAAATGGAAACAGAATAATTATCCCCATCAAAGGACCATGTGGAAAGAGCTGAGGAGCAAAAAATATTTAATGTAGGATCTTCTTATTTTTAGGAAATTGCTCAGAGGACATTGGATGTATCCTGAAAAGAGCTCCACTCATGAAGTCATGGGCCTATCTCCAAGGTGAGTAACTGAATCCAGGAACCCCTAAACATCTAAGTACCATTTCTGTGGTCTTTCCACAACTTCTAAGCCACAGGGTCACAAGTAAAGGTCCATAGTAAGATGTAACCTGCAGATGTGTGTGTTTTAGTTTGTGTGACATGTGTATGCTCCAAAGTTACAAGGCACCTCCTTCCCCAGTCCCATTTCCACATTTATGTTGCCCACCTGGCTCTTGCTGGTGTTTTCATCCCATCTGGTTACCAGTACCACCAGTACCAGGCCTACCAGTTACAGTCAGGTACACAGTTATTTGCCTAATACAGGGGATGCAGGCTGTTCATCTGCACCTCTCTGGACTTATTCACAACAGAACCACAAAATTGCCTTGTCCCTCACATTGACAACTCAATGAACATGTTGGTGCAGCACCTACTTGCGTATGTCAGCATGCTGCAGGTAAGTGTCCTCTTAGAAACAGAACAATACGAGGCACTTACACTGCAAAGGAATGAGATATGGAGGAGATGGCCAAGATGAATAGCCATCGTACACATTTTTTAAATTCAATTTTGTAGTTAGATTGCTTCTCGCCACTTTCAATTGAATTGTATCAGGGTTTAAAGGGAATGCATGGATCCAATTAAAAGTAACACAGCAGCTTCTCAATTCTGAAAGGATCCTTAGGGTGAATGTTGATGTCACTCATTATGACTCAGAGAGATTGGTTTCTGACATGAACATGGCTTAGAGGTTTACTGATTTCTCTGCTATTCTGTAAATCCCAGATAGCAGAAACCCTTACATACTTGTGAAAGACCTACACAAATTATGGTTTAAAGGAATACATTTAAAATTTCCTCAATGTCCTCAAAATATTAAAAACAGGACTATTATATGATCCAGCAATCCCATTCTTAGAAGCAGAGACTCAAAAAAAGAAATGTACATCAATGTTAATTGCAGCTCTATTCACAGTAGTCCAAAGGTGAAAACAACCTAAACACTCATCAACAGATGAATGGATAAACAACATGTGGTGCATGCATACAGTGGAATACCATTTAGCAAACTGGAGAAATGAAGTCTTGATAAATGCTACAGTACCATCGGAGCTTGTCAACACTATGCTGAACAAAATCAAAAAAGGTCCTATACTATATTGTCTCAGTTATATAAGAAGACAACAAAAACCAAAAGTACACTAACCAAAGTTTATTAGTGGTTACCAGGAGTGAGAGGTGGGAGGAAAGTGGAGGTTTATGGTGATGGAAACTACCAGCGGTTCCACAGGAGAAAGATGAGGCAGTCTGCTCCCGTAAAGATTTACAGCCTCGGAAACCCTGTGTAGGGTCGCTATGACTCGGAACCGACTCCACGGCACATAACAACAACATGGTGATGAAAAAGCCACATTGATACCTCACTTAGTTATTAATTGAAAAGTATCAAGTGTTCTAGCTCTACTACTTGGTGGTGTTGTTGTTATCGTGAAGTGCCATCGAGTTGGTTCCAACCCATAGTGACCCTGTATAGGGTTTCTGAGGAGCAGCTGGTGAGCTTGAACTGCTGACCTTGCAGTTCAAACGGCTTTGCAGTCTGGCACATTAACCCACAGCACCACACCAGGACTGTGTAGTATCTGCCAAATAGTAGTTCTCCACCAAATGTCCAGTGATTGATTGGATCAATGAATATGATAGTCCAGACCTTGTGGGGAATACATTTCAGGAGCTTATATTCTAAAAAAGGAAAGAAAAATAATATTAAAACTATTACTGGAAAAGGCTTATTCTGAAGGAGGTAGAGCTATAAGGTCATGGATGCTCGAACACTTCAGCTTTGAGTATTAAAGAAAGAGGCGTGTAGTACATCGGCCTTGAATCATAAGTAGAATGCAAAGAAATAATGTGGAAAATAGTCCAGATGATAAAACAGCAGGTAATGCTGTAGGAAAAATGGGTCTTGAGTGGCAAGCACTAAATAAAGGCTTATAACTTTCCAACCTATACCTGAAAGTTGCTCAATGATTCTGTAGGTTTTTTTAAAAAGTAAGTAAACATAAAACAATATGTCCAAAAAATAATAATAATTCTGTGGGTTTTTTTTTTTTTTTTTCTCTTTCCAGCATCAAAACATATAAACAAAACCAAGTTGTCCTGGAACTCAGATGGCATTGCTGAGGGAGTTGAATATAAAGATGGGAATTTGGTGATCCAGTTCCCAGGTTTGTACTTCATCATTTGTCAACTGCAATTTCTCGTGCCTCAATGTCCAGAAAATTCTGTCGATCTGAAGTTGGAGCTTCTCATCAATGGGGTGGTCAAAAGGCAGGCACTGGTGACAGTGTGCGAGTCTGGAGTGCAAACCAAAAATATATACCAGAACATCTCACAATTCTTACTGGAGCACCTTCAGGTCAACAACACCATATCAGTCAGGGTGAATGCATTCCGGTTTGTGGATACAGATACCTTCCCTCTTGAAAATGTGTTGTCCATCTTCTTATACAGTAGTTCAAACTGAACAGTTTTTCCTGACTTTCAAGAAGAGAGAAACTCTCCACCATGTAGTACTTCACCCATCCAAACACTTGGACAAAAAAGAAAACTTTAGACTAAGACTAAAACTACAAAGAGTATTACCAAGAAGTCTTCTCCTTCTTTCTCTCATGAAGGTACAGCTCCAGGGTTAAAAAGACTTTTAAGTGAAATACCTTTCAGAGAAAAGGAAGGAAAGTAGTGTGGTGTGGTAGACAGAGCCACAGATGGGAATCAAATGGAATGGGTATATCCTGAGCCCTACCACTAACTCACTGTATATGACCTTGAGCCATTACTTCACCTACCAGGAACACAAAATCCATGTCTGAAAAATGAAGGGGCTAGAGATGATCTTCTCAAGTGTCACTTCCATCTCAGAAAACCAGGCTTTCTCATTTCAGACCTGTGAGCTGAGATTCCACATAGTGTCATGGAAGCCCCCAACCAAAGGAAAGCTCCCACAACTGTCCTAGTAACATCTGACCACTTTACTTCAACAGAGTCAGAATATGGGGACAAGGTACAGGATGCCTTGTAGAAAGGTAAGAACTGTAGGATCCAACTGAAAGTACCACCAACCTGACCATCCAGAATCTAAAAGACCATCTGAGTGTTTGGAAAACCATCCAACCACACCTGACTCCATTCCAGTTAAGAATGACATTTAGTCAACAGCAGACCGTATTTGTGTCGTTAGAAAAGGGCTGTGCAGTCAACAAACCTCAGTCAGTGTGCGGTGGCCAAGACAATACAGTCATTTAACCAGGGAATAGCTGCTGCCATTTCTCACATGATCTGTTTCCATTCCCTGTTTCAAACACCTCTCAGAAAACCATTTCTATGGAGGATTTCTAAGTCTTCACAAAAGCTGGAAATGATGAGGAGAATATGTGAGCTATGTCAGCCTCCTCTCTTGATTTGGGTAGCCGTGAGATTTCGCTAGCTACGACAACCTTTGCACCACTCCTTCATCTTTGGAGATGCACCTTATTTGTTTGAATGAAAGTTTTTGACAAACCATTTGAGTTGGTGTGGAAGTCCTGAGGTCATGATTCAGTAAGAACAAAAGGTAAACCCTTAACTGCTATGCAAAGAATGGAGTGAAATTTGCATTCTTCTCAAGAAGAAGAACCCACCATCAGGCAAGTTGATTAAAACTCACAGTGACCCTATATAGGATTTTTGAGACTGTAAATCTTGAAGGGAGCAGATAGCCTCATTTTTTTTCCCCCATCAGATCAACAGGTTCATTTGAACTACTGACCTTGTGGTTACTAACCCAACACCTAACTCATAGAGCCACCAGGGCTCCCTCCCTCAAGAAGAGCTGGAAAGAAAGAAATCCAGAAAGATTTGTCCAAGAAAGGCAAGAAAATATTTAAAAGAAAGAAAGGAAAAGGCCAGCAATGGTAGTACAGATGAGATGGACTTGGGAGAATAAAAATACCCTAGAGAAATGTTTATCATTTGCTGAGCAGTGTGCAATGTTAACCTTCTCCTATCTCTTCCATTAAATATTCAGTAAAATTGACATTCTCTTTAAAGCTTTGTGTGAGTAGATGCTCTGGCAAAACCAGACATATGAAGAGGTGATGAATTCAGCAAACCAATTGAAGAGGTGATGAATTCAGCAAACCAATTGGTATGGGTTGTTAAAAAAAAATTTTTTAACTGGTTCAAGGGCCCAAAAACTAGGCAACAAAGAGACATCTGACATTTGAGTTATATTCCAGCTGTGCAGGACAAATGAATCTTGCACAAATCAACTCATGCACTCTTAAAAAGTGAATAAAATGTAAGGTTTTATAATCTACAGCAAATTTTCTACCATCTCCAATTTAACTGCAGAAAGATTCTACTTTCCCTTTTCACCAAGCTTTCTCTGAGCAGAGGTACCTGACTTTTGCATTGTTAGTTGTTCCTAAATTTAGTCGCTGTCAAGCAATTCTCCAAAAGCCAACAATTGAAGACATAGGGGTACAGTGTTTTAAAGTATCTTGTGGTTGGTGGTGGTTTTATGCCGTGGAGTCGGTTCTGACTCATAGCAACCCTGTACAGGGTTTCCTAGGCTGTAAATCTTTACGGGAGTAGAAAGCCTCATCTTTCTCCCATGGAACAGCTGGTAGTTTCAAACTGCCAACCTTGAGGTTCGCAGCCCGATTCGTAACCACTATGCTAAAATATCTTGTAGTAAACAAAAAAACTAAAAGAGAATAATCATTAATAGCTCAGTCAATATGTACCTATGGAGTAGAAAACCTAGGATGTTTGAAACAAAATTCTGGTATTCACTGTGGTTTAACCAGTCACTGAAAATGGCATAAGTAATTGACATAATCTCTGCAATTAGTAATTTTTCTAACTCTGTACTTGGGCTACCTGAAGCATATACTTCTTTGATAAAAATTCAAATTGAGCTCACAGACTCTTTGTCCCACACACAGAAAATCCATGCAGAATGTATAGAGGAAGGGAATATATGGATTAATTAAAAATAACAAGTCAATGTGGGCTAAATGTATTCATGCCTTTGGAAAATTTAACATAGCTTCCCTTCTCGACATTTGGTAACTTATTCTTCACTTGATCTTCCCATTGCCCAATGATGCCTCCTGTAACTCTCCTATTCAATTTCTTCTTAGAATCCTCCAATCACACAAAGGTGGCTCAGAGAGTGGCCTGGTATACCGTGAGGGTTTGATATAAATGGGCACTAAAGGAAGGAAGTGTTCATTGAAGTTGGACAAAATTTACCAGACTAGTGAGACTCCCAGAATTGATGGAATCTGGCACTGGTAGATAAAACTCTTCAATTAAAAAACAGAGAAGTCAGCCAGTATATTCTCTGGAAATATCCTGAGAGAGCCAGTGTTTGCATACAAACCCAGTAGCAAGAAGGGATTTCTCCAATTCTTCACTTGCCCTACCTTCCCATTATTCCTCATCATCCTCACTGGTTTCCTCCTGTAGCTTTTCTGTAAGTCCACAGCTCACCCCTACGTTAAAGCAGTCTGCAGCATTCAAGAATTTCCTCTACTTTTCCCTCTTCCAGCTCCACCTGAATCCCATACAGATTCAGTCTGTGTGGTCAAGTCACAGAAACATGATTAGGGTCCCACTATATAAACCCTGTACAGGGTCGCTTTGAGTCAGAGCTGACTCTACGGCACATAACCACCACCACCTACATATGAAATCTATGTCTCTCAGAAAGTGAAAAAATACATGTTAAAGCCATTATGCTTTCTAGAAAGAAAGAAAAAAAAAAAAACCCACACAATTAAAAGCTTGTTGTCTAATTTATTTGAGATTATGCATATATGTGTAGAAGGGTAAGTCAAAAAGTACTGCTACAAAATCACAGAAACCTCCATTAAACAAAAATGATCAAAATGTGTAATTATTGTTTCTCAACATATTCTCCACCTAGGCCTATCCACTTCTAAACATGGTATTTTCATCACTCTAAACCTTCCCAGGACAGTGCTGCACTCTTCAATTCTTTTGTGGTCAATCTGCTTAGCTTGGGTCAGGTGAACCTTGTGCTCTGTGCCTTGCAAACTTTATATTTGCTTGTATTTATTTTTAATTATGAGAAGAACAGAAAATAATATGTCCCATGCCGTACCAACTTATTTAACAACTATTATTTTGCTATATTTGTTTCTAATTCTTTTAAAAAATAAAATAATACAGATAGAACTAAAATACCTTCTCCATTCCTAGAGGCAATTGTTGCCCTAAACTCTGTATGTTCCTTTCATTTGCATAATTTTGTACTTGTTTCCCCATAAGAATATATAGTACAATTTTGTGTAATTATTAAATTTTCAATAAATATTATCATATGTTACATAACATTTTGTGACTTGATTTTTTTTCACTTAAGATTAATTTTTTCATATTTTATCCAGATTGACACAAGTATAGCTAGCTCATTTAACTGCTAAAACAGATTTCATTGTTTGAATAAACTAGTTTGTCCATTTTCCTACTGATAAGCACTTAGTTTCCTTTGATATTTTTCACTATACCCACTCCTCACTTATAAACAAGATTAGAACCCAAAAACCAGGTGATTATGTAAAAATCAGCATTATGCCAAATGGAAGGTAACCACATCAGATCACAAAATAGAGGATAACTACATCATTACATAATTGTCAAATTACATCATTATATAGCTGCTGAGCCACTGAGAATCATCACCCAGCCAAGATGACACGTCACCTTAACATTATACAGCTGTTAAGCCACTGAGAATTATGACGCAGCCAAGTTGACACGTCACCTTAACATCACCTTAACATTACATAGCTGCCAAGCCACTGAGAATCATAATGCAGCCAAGTTGACATATCACCTTAACATCACCTTAACATTATATAGCTGCCGAGCCACTGAGAATCATGATGCAGCCAAGTTGACACGTCACCTTAACATCATCGTAACATTATATAGCTGCCAAGCCACTGAGAATCATGAGCAGTGAAGTTGACGCATCACCTTAACATCATCTTAACATTATATAGCTGCCAAGCCA